AGTCATTGCTGCTGCCCAGTGATGGGAGCCTTCCATGTGCTCACCAGAGGTAGCCTGTCTGCCATTAGGTACTGAGATAGGATCATATGCTGGTGTGGTTGGCCCTGGGTTCCTCTTCATGCAGGATAATGCTAGACCTCATGTGGCTGGAGTGTGTCAGCAGTTCCTGCAAGACGAAGGCATTGATGCTATGGACTGGCCCGCCCGTTCCCCAGACCTGAATCCAATTGAGCACATATGGGACATCATGTGTCGCTCCATCCACCAACGTTACGTTGCACCACAGACTGTCCAGGAATTGGCAGTTGCTATAGTCCAGGTCTAAGAGGAGATCCCTCAGGAGACCATCCGCCACCTTATCAGGAGCATGCACAGGCGTTGTAGGGAGGTCATACAGGCACGTGGAGGCCACACACACTACTGAGCCTCATTTTGACTTGTTTTAAGGACATTACATCAAAGTTGGATCAGCCTGTAGTGTGTTTTTCCACTTTAATTTTGAGTGTGACTCCAAATCCAGACCTCCATGGGTTGAAAAATTTGATTTCCATTTTTTCATTTTTGTGTGATTTTTTTGTCAGCACATTCAACTATGTAAAGAACAAAAGTATTTCAGAAGAATATTTAATTCATTCAGATCTAGGATGTGTTATTTTTGTGTTCCCTTTAGTTTTTTTCTATACATATACACACTATCCACTTATAACTTACTAAATTATATTAATCATATATATATATATATATATATATATAATTAGTATTATGTTAGACTATTCATGGATAAATTTTACTTTAAAAAAACAAAACAAAAAAAAAATCAACAGAGCATTACTAGTTCCATGGTAATAAAAGGGTGAAATTAAGGTTAGGTGTCAATTCAAAAATTACGATCGAAATTGCAGACACCCAGACTAGGAAAAAGCCTTTGAAATTGGCAGGAATGTTATTTATAGCAGACAAAGATAACCAAAAATGACGTAAAACGCATCACCAATTTCAGTTAACCCATTATACAAAGAGGTAAATGGACCCCTTGACAAGAATTTTTGGTGATGTAATTGCGCCATCTACAGACCAAAATCTAGATGATAGTCTGTAGGGAAGACACACCTACAGTTCCCTATTGGTCCTATCAACTAGTAACATGCAGAGACAATTTTCCCCTTTAAAAACTAATACAATCCTCTCATCAATCCTCCCATCCCTCAAGGTAAGTAAGAGGTGGAGGTGCTGCGGGGTCAGATGGCTGGGCCATTTAGTTTCCCCCCTTTTGCCAATTTGAGGGTTCCCCCGAAGGAGCCTGGGTCCTATCGACTGATTCACCACCTGTCTTACCCTGTATCAATGATGACATCGCTAAGGAGATATGTAGGGTTTGGTCTAAGTCATTCGTTAGGGCTTTGGAGCTGGTTCGGGCTGCTGGGGCCAGAGACTTGCTGGATAAAATCGTACATCGAATCCACATTCTGTTTGTTGCCGGTTCACCCCAACTGTTCACTTGTTGGGATGTTATTTCAAGGGTTCGTACTATTATGATATGTGCATTCTGATGGGCTGTGCCATATTATTTTGAGATGTCCTCGTCATTCTTGGAGTGGCTCACCGTACGGGCGTCATGTGTCCGTGCGGTCACCCATTACTTTGATGATTTCTTGTTTGTGGGCCCTGGTGACTCAGGAGTCCTTGCTTTTGTTGTGCGGACTTTGGGGTTCCGGTCGCGAAGCACGAAATGGTGGGTCCTACGACTTTTTTTTTTTTTTTTTTTAATTCCTGGGCATTGAAATTGATTCGGACAGGATGATTTCTCGATTGCCGGAGGATAAGTTGATGGTTTTGTTGCGCCTAGTGGATTTGGTAAAAGGGTCTCGTAAAGTTCAGTTACGCCAGTTACAGGCCCTTCTGGGTCACCTCGCTTTTACGTGTTGGGTTCTTCCCAGGGGTAGGGCGTTCTGCAGGCAGCTATCACTGGTGACTGTAGGAATTCAGGAACCGTTTCATTACATTTAGGTTATGCGGCGTGTGACAGACCCATCCGTATGTACTAGAATTGCTGTGTTAGTCTGTTTTGCCGGTTGCATGAATTTCCCCATTCGTATGCCTTGTTTAAGGGAATGTATTTTTATGTCGAACGGAACTACCGAACGGACGGCCACCCAGAAGAGAAGTGTGCTGCTGGTTAACCTATTGATCCCAATTAGAACGTTGCGGTTAACCACAGACACTTCTCAATTAAAACCGAATATAGGGTGGTCGTCGTTCGTATGTGGACCATGAGGCGGCGGCCATTTTAACCATGCGAAAGACCAGCGGTGTTCGACGGTTATTTCATGGAACTAAAAACGGACACCTTTTCAACCGAACACCGCTGAAGCCGTCGTCCTCCCTTCTTAATCGACAGAAGTGTGCGAACACCGGCCGTTCGGGAGATTTTAAAGGCACGGATGGACTTAACCCAGATAGCCTTCCCATGGAGTCAATCGCATACCGAAGAACTGTAATAGACTTTGACTCCATGGCGATTGAGCGTATGGGATCTGAGCGCTATTCGCCAATAATATGCACTCAGATCCAGGCTATCTGGGGATGTGTTACACAAATGTAATATGTTCGGCAGTTATAAAGTTATGTATTTTTATGTGTTTTAGGAATTGTACTTAAAATGGCGATTTGCCTCTGCTCTGGGAGATAATTGAATTACTTCTCAATTATCTCCTGAGCAGAGGGGAGGAAACTGATGCATGCTGGGAATATTGTGGGATTGTATGTCTGAAATGTCCCCATGTCCATCTGCTAGATATTGGAAGATATTGGCTGTTCGTGTATTTGGAGCTCGTGAAGGGAAGGAGCCGTACGGGTACCGTTCCGGAGTTTGGAGTGTTCCCTGGCTGGCGGTTCGCATGCTTGTATTGTATATGCTACCAGACATTATTGCGAACGGGGAGCATTCACTAAACGGCGGTTTGTACATTTCATGCTGAAGGTACCGTAACACGGCGGTTACGCAGCGATCTGCAGGTGTGGAGTTAGTTTCTAGGATCTTACAACTGTCGGTCTTGTTGGCTTCGGGCTGCCGTGAGCAACGCGAGTTTTGTGAGAGGCTGAAGATCAAGGAGGATAGGGGCCAAGGGCAGATTAAGGAGACTCTCCTTGTTTTTGGAGATGAGGTTTTAGGAGAGGAGGCAATGGATACAAGTGTGACAAAGAAGAGGAAGAAAAAGTGTAAAGACCCTGCTCCACGCAAGCCAGAGGCCCCTGTCCAGGAGGTCTAGGTGATCAGTGGAGGGGGTGAGTACAGCTCCTCAGACTACTCTTACTCTGAGGAGGAATTTCCATCTTTGCAGACTCCTGAGGCCAGGAATACAATAACCACAGGTGGCAACGCCTGCAAGCCTCAGAAGTCTGCCCACCCTGCCTTTGCCAATGTCTCTGGGGCCACCACCGCCCTTCATGGTGACAGGGAGACCATCCTTGCTGGTGTCATGGCAGGCACCAGTGATCCCATGGAGGGGGCTTCCCTCTCCTCCCTTCCCATTCCCTTCCTCCCTTCCCCCCTCTGACCTTCCTTCTCTTGTGAATAGTGTGGCTACTGCTGGGTTCCTTGGTGGGTCTGGTTCCTCTGTCGCCTGTCCTCAGGTGGCTGCAGGCCAGTCTACTGTGGTCCCAGCTGTAGCAGAGTGTGGTGCTCCTTTCAGGAAAAGTGCTGCCGCAGACACCAGCACTGGGCAGTCTGTTGGGGTGGGGAGACAACTGGCGCTGCTGGGCCCTCCAAGAAAGCTGCTGCGGCCAATATGGCTGTGCAACTCATTGGGGGGACCGGTGGTGCTGTTGAACCTTCCATGAGGGCTTCTCCGGTTGCTGGTTCTGGGCAGCCCCTGGAAGGGGTTTATGCTTGCTCCTCCCCCTCAGCAATGGCTCCTCAGTTTGTCTCTGTCCTGTCTGAGTCTAGGTCTGCAACTGTTCCATTAAATGTAACTTCCTTTAAATGTTCCCTTGAACATTTCTGTCCCCGTCTCCCTCCCTGTGCAGTGGTGCCGCAGGTCCCGCGGGTGCCTGTGCCACGGGCATGCATGCCTGTGCCCTGTGTGCTGCAGGCATGCATGCCGCCGGTGCCGTGTGTTCCACGGGTGCCCATGGCGCAGGTGTCGTGGGTGCTCAGCCTGTAAAAAGTAATGTAAATAGAAATGTAAATGCTGTAGATAATGGCACTCCCTGGCCGTCGCTAAGGGTGCCATGACCGGAGTCTCCAGCAATGGCCCTGCCACTGGAGTAGTCCAGCCCACAACGTTCAGGATAGCAGGTCCCAGCGTGTCCAATGCTTGGGCATCTGGGCCACCTCGCCTTACCTCGCGCGCCCTCAGGCTCCCTCTCCAGGGAGCAGGAGGAATGTGGTGCGGCTGGCCTGGAGAGATGAAACCCGGGTGCATGACAGACGGGTGCTGGTGTCCTGTTTGAAGGACATGGGTTTCTCCCCCTCGGATCTGTACGCCCTCATCCACGCTTCAGGGAAACCCGGGAGTTCGATGTCTCTTATGATGTCGCAGCTCCTGGACCGTTTCTGGGCTGGATGGGAGGCGGCCAGCTCTCTGCAGGGGTCGAGATGGGTTGTATTTACCGCTATACCAGTTTCTCGCCAGGAAGTTAACAAGGTAACTTTCTTGGTGAGGAATGAGTCCATTCCCATAGCGGATATCCTGGTAAGGGTTAGGAGATACGGGGAGGTTAAAAGTCCCCCCATTAAGATCCTCGATGCGGATGGAATTTGGACTGTCTCAGTGATGTTGAGGGAGATACAGGGTGTCACGCAGCACATGCCCAATAGCTTCTTTATCAGGACTGACCGGGTATCATGCTTTTACCCTGGTCAGCCTTAAGCGTGCCACAGGTGCCGATCGTACAGGCATTTTAGCAATGCCCGTATGGTCCTGAAATGCACTATGTGCAGTGTTGTGGGGCACCTCAGGGACTCCTGCTTGGAGATCTGGTGTCTCCTGTGTTCAGGGATGGGGCACTCGTACCGCACCTGCCCCAAAGCCCTAAACAACATTGAATCCATCTGGAGTATGGATCCGGTGGAGATGGACTCAGCTGGGTTAGGGGAAGTGGTGGCTGGACCGTCGGCTGTCTCCGTCCCTGGCATGACGGTCTCCAGGTCTCAACCGCTGTCCATCCTCCCCCTGGTCTCAAACGTAACATCTGAGGCCCCAGTGACGGCTGCCAGCTCACGTCCTCATGATAAGGTTAGTGTAGGCACTTCCAGCACTGGTGTGGTTGTCCCCGAGTCGCCTGGTCCCTCTCCTACAGTTAATATCCCCCTGGTTAAGACTATTCCCCTGGCACTGTCCCCTGAATCCCATGAGTTGGTGTGGAAAGAAGTAAAGTCTAGAAATCCCCCTCCTTCGAAGGTCTCAGCTCCCTCCCTGCCCCAGAAGACTGCCAAGCCCCCTGCGGTGCAGCCCCAGGAAAACGGTGATGTGATAAAGGGTGGCAAGGCAAAGGAGGCCGCCTCCTCTTCCGTCGTGCAGGATGCCCTTATCGAATAGGTTTGAGGCACTGTCCTCCAGCTGGAGGAGGAGATTGTGAACCTTCCAGAGGAGGGGGTGGTGGTTGAGATCAGCGAGGAAGTATCTCTGAGGGACGACGGGCCCCTCTATGCTTGAGTCTCAGTGAAGAGATACTACTCCGACACGGAGGGGGAGGGGGATAGCAGAAAGAAGGGAAAATCTCCTTGTGCTTGAATGGCTCTTATGGTTAATTTTCCTATGCTCTCTGTGGCTACGGTGAATGTAAATAGTGTAAAGTCCAGCAGGGCCAGATTCTTGGTTTATGACGACCTCAGCCGGGCTCCGTACAATGTCATCTTGGTACAGGAGACCCGGCTGGAAACCCTTATGGCCCTGCATGCGGCAAAGCGGGACTGGAGATGGGGGCCCTCCTACTTCTCTATAGCCACAGAGAGCTATGGGGGGGATTGCCATCCTATTTAAGGAAGTTGATGTTTACATCAACAGAGTCAATAAGTTGCAGAAAGGACACTGTGTGGTTTTAAATGTGTCACTGGGCAGGCAGCCCCCAAACCAAGTGGGAGAGGAAATGCCTGTTTAAAGAAATGCCTTACCTGTATACATCCAAGCAGATTCTGTTTGGCGGTGATTTCAACACCATCACTAGGCCTCAGGACAGAAGAGGTGCCACTCAGAGGCTTGGGTAGGACTCAATTTTTCTCGATAGAATGGTTAGTCAGGCTGGATTGGTGGATGCGTACATTCACCACGCTCCCAATCCCACGGGTGGGTTCACCTATCACCGAGGTAGCTGTCAGAGTAGGATAGATAGGATTTTTGTTAAGGAGGATTTCCCGGTGGCGGCACCTGTGCTTACGCAAGTGGAGTTCTCCGACCATCACATTCTATCTTGTGAGTTGAACGTTCGCGGCACCCCATCTAAAGGTAGAGGGATACGGCGGCTCAATTCTGACCTCCTGGTAGAACCGAGGGTTCAGCAGGCCTTCAAGAAATTCTTCCACGACCAGATGACTTTGGCTGACTTGGGTAAAATTAAGTCTGAGTGGTAGGAGATGGTGAAGGCCAGGATACGAAGGCTTTTTCACAATCTTGCCCAGAACATGCAGTCCTCTAGGTACAAGATGTATCTGAGCCTGCTCGGGAGGTTAGATGTCTTGATCTCGCGGGGAGGTTACCCAGAGGACGTTGCGGCGTTCAAGGACCCGATGAGGAGTTTTCAATATGATAGATACACCTCCTTTGTAAAGGAGAGGGATCATGGGTCCTACCACTCACCCGATCCTTATCTCAGTTGCAAGAGGAAGGAAGGTACCAAGACCTTCACCTGTCTGCGGGGCACCAACGGCATCCTCGAGGAGTCTCCTCGCGGGATTCAGAGGGTGGTAAACATCCCATGGGAGAGGGGTGGTTGACTTCTTGAGCGGGATCACACTCCCTGAGAATAGCGACCTTCCTAAATAAAACACACAGCCAGATTTTACACGGACCATTTATTAAAATGCTATCTATCCTGGAATAGGTGTTGTGGGGAGCAGAGTAAAATGTATAGTCCCTTGTGTCTGGGTGCTGTAGTCGCCATGCGGCACGTAGTCCCAGGCACCCCAAGAAGGTATGAATCAGTTTCTATAGTGTCCCTCTCCCGTGTGATCGCGGCACTCCCCTTTTTGAGCTCCTGTCGACTGACGGATACGGCACTGCGTTGAACCACTACCACACCCCCCAGTGTTCGAAATTGTAGCGAGGGAGTCCCAAAACGGAGGGTCCTGTTCACTTGCGTAAAATGTTAAGTATGTGGAATTTGGTTGTGTTGTTGTTTGGCTGGGTGTTGTGCCCGTGATGGTTACATATCTGTCCTCCGGGTCTACCTGGGTTCCTGTCACCTGAAAGGGGCAGAGTTTATGTAAGAGGATGGCTACCCCTGCACACTTGCGCATTGCTCTGGCCTCATAAGTCCTTGTATACATTCTATTTACCAGGCTGACTGAGGCTGACCTGGGGAGATGGGTTTCTTGTATTAGGGTGATGTCTGCTTTTTTAGCCCTCAGCTCCCATAGTAGGCGTTTACGCTTGGAGGGCGAGTTCAGGCCCTTTACATTAAGTGAGTACCTTTAGAGGCATACTGTCAGAGGGTGGTTGAAACCAAGTGTCTTGGGCTCTCCAGTCCTGGGTCCCTTCTCTGGGCCTTTTCCCCTCAGCCCCCAACAGGGTAGGTGTCAATCTCCATGCCGCGAGTGACGTCCAGGACTTGCGCCCCATGAGAGAACTGATGAGAAAGTGTCACAAGTACATCATACAAACAATTTGAACTAAAACAAAACCTGAAACTTAGTATATTTACATAATGAAGCCTGGACTTACAAAATTGCTAGAGCAGCCTAAGGGTGCGAACCACTCCAGCCCTGAGAGCACGTGTTTCCAGCGTCAAGTGGCAGCTCCCAGCTCCAATCCGCTGTGCAAGACCCACACACAATAACATTCATTATAACGATCGTTCTGGAGCCCCTGAGTCTCCTCACCCCCTCCCCTCGTCCCTCTTGATTATCCAGGGGTTGCCCCTCTGCCCCAGTCTCTCCTCTGAAACCAACTGAGCATCCTCAAACCTGTCCCTTGCGGCCCCTCTAAGGGTAGGTAACTCGACACCGAGGTAACATCTCCATATGCAGATAGAGTGCTCCTAACGGAGTGGTCTGGCCCTCCTTTCCTTACGTATTCCCCTTTATACTGCAGGCTCACTACCCTCCTGGAATTGAATCTTGTCCTTGTCAATTTTGGGTTGCTTATTTATGAACTAGTAACGCTGCCTCCGCATGTCTACTCCCCATTCTGTCCAAAGATGCTGCTACAGAATACCACACAACTTACAAAACCATAAGAGTAAGGGTTCCGACATTGTCCTGAGTCCTCAAACCCCCGCCACTTAGCTGCACTCGTGTGCGGTCTTGTTATCACACTGCACGAGGGGCAAACGTTCTGGGGCACCAGCACAAATAAGATGCATGGCAGCTAACTACCCCTTCAAGTGGTACCGTCCAGTCTGATTCGGATTGCCAGGGTAAATTCTGGTGGCAGTTTGATGTTGAGTCCTCTGAAGAAGGGGAGTGGGTCACCTCCCGGCATCCGGGTATGGGTCTTACCAGCCTTAGATGCCACCAACTTAAAAGGGATGACCATGTATACCAGATCTCGTGGTGCCGGAGGAGCCCGCGGCCGGTCTCCACTCCTTGCAGCGTTTAAGTGTAGCGGGTGAGAGGCCCTGGTATATCGCCAGCTCCGTATCCCGGTATTGTATAACATTGTCTTTCCAGTATTTGACAATGGCTTCCTTGGTGGAATAATAATGGAAACAGATAACGTCTCTGGGCACGCTCTTCTGGCTCGCAGAGCCCGGTTAATCGCCCATCTTTAATCCGGAATGTCAGGGATCAGATGTTCAAAAAAGTCCAATATCTGTGGAAGTGGGCCTTTGTTTGGCTTTTCTGGGAGGCCTCTTAAGCGTAAGTTGAACCGTCTGGATAGATCCTTCCATGGCTGTTTTGCCATAGAGCCGGCGTTGGATACCACTGTTGTGGGCCTGCGCCGCAGCTTCCACCCGCTGCTCCAGTTCAGATGTGTGCACCCCCAAGGCCTGTATCTCCGATTTGATTTCATGGGAGGTTCTGGCTATTTCCCCCGCAAGGTAAGTTTTCACTTCAGTGAGTTTATGCAGAATTTTCGCTGTTTCTACCATGGGGATGTCGGCGGCATTGCTAGCAGCAGAGGCCGGTGAAAGGAAGCCGCATGGACTCGCATGGTGGCCATCTTGGGAGGTCAAAGTCATCCGTAAGGATGCAAACATGTTTGAGACACATCAGGTTTTGACCCTGATCCCCTCTTTCTGGGCTGCTTCGCTCCAGGGCCTGTGCTGGCCATGGTGAAGGCTTTAGGCGATGTTTGTGGGTCTCAATGCTGCAGGCAAGTGTGTAATTCAGTGCGGATGGAGGGGAGCAGTGGAGTTATGCTGCCATCCTAGTCTAAGACCGAACCACGCCCCTTTATAAAATGTTTTTAATGTGTGGTATAGACAAATTGTTTACTTTTGTATACCAATTAATTTTTTTCCTGCACGTTAAAGATGCACTATAAGATCACACTAAATTATTCATTGGATTTGAAAAACATTCAAGTGCCTTTTTATCCACTTACATTAATATAATTGTTATTTTACAGTGAGTCAAGGAGTTCCTTCAGACGAGAACCTTTGTGCAGTTAACTTTGCGGAAGAAGTAATGGATGCACGACTACTCAATCCACACAGAGTCAATCATTGAGCGGGAAACGTGCTTATTATTAAACAGGCTTTCCTATGGGGTTTTTCAACATGTCACGCGTAAAGTGGACGTCACGCGTCTTTTCACTGAGTCAATCTCTGTGAAACTGCAGAAAGCACCTCATAGAATGCGAAGTTAAAATCCCCTGAAAGGAGGGGAGGTGTCAAAAGGGGGCAGTCTGGCTGTTTCCTAAACTAGTCTAGTCATAAGAGACTATAGTGTAACTATTCCCTGCATATTTCCAGCCTGCTGCTATCAGTTAGTAAATCATTAGCAAAAAGGGATGTTAAGTCAAAAACAGCACTTACACCCGACATGCGTTTAACCGAACGAAAAACATTTGTGTTGGATTACCAGGGTAACTTAGAGCTCTGCATTTAAAGCATTGTTTGTTCATTATTTGTTTTAGCAAGAACCTTGATTGTATTGTATATGAAAAACCACAGAGTTCCCATGGCAACCTGTGGGGGTTTTATCCCATTGTGTGTAAGACTGTAAATTTCTCGTCTTTCACACTGCCATGGACTAGTCACCAAATTTCTGATTTCCGACTTATCTATTTCTCAGATCTGGGAAAAGGTGCATTAGAAATAACAGGACAACGCAATGTATTTCAATCAAGCCTTTCAATTTTTCCTTCAAAGCAAACGGGATACATAAATTTTTAGTCTAGGGTGGTGCACTTTACTCAGCCAGCCAATCACTGATTGG